TTATTTAAATGTGTACTACTGGCGTAAACTGCAGACGACATTTAAAGTCCAACATTATAAAACAATAAATTGTGAAACGTCTTTACTTTGTGAAAGTAAAGATGTGGTCCTTGATTTAAATAAAAAAAATAATTTCGCTATCACTGCGTACAACGAATGTAATTTACAAGTTAATAAGAGAAGACACAACGATGTCCGCCCTAAACAAGAAATACGTAGCCCTATATGTGTAAGAAAAAATATATGATGTGATTTTTTAAGACATAGACTATCTGTCTATAGTTTACGCGATTAGTACACATTATAATAAAACACTATATATATATCATGAAATTCTTTTAACAACGGCCAGAAGTTTCTTTCCAGCAGCTGTTGACACGGGTAAAATAATTTTCAAATAAGTTTAACTAATATCTAGCGTTTTAAACCGTTCGCGTGTTTTATTTAAACGACACTATTTATACACTGATCTATAAGGTCCACAAAGTTGATGTACAATAACGAGTTATGTATAAAGATTATCCATTCATAATAGCTTAGGAAGTCGCGGGCTCGGCAACTCAAAGTAATGAAATTAATTATTCCGCGAGGATACAGCCTAAGAGGGATTACATTGGCATACTTGAAAACAAAACTATTTTAAACGATTTGAATCCTTTGAGCTGGGGCCTCATGGGTCCTTTAGAACCAATCTGACACCATGCTTTTATTCCCATGTACTGCGTGAAGGCTATTGTGAACTCGACTTCTATTTGTGAGGTCTGGTGTTCGATATCCGGCCGTTCGTAAAATACCTATTTCTAACCGAGACGTTAGTCTTATGCTAGTGATAATACTGCAAATAGATTCGATTCCTACTGCTTTCAACATGTTTTAAATCAATGTATATATCTTTCCAAAAAATGTTTGAGTATCTCTGGAAATACTTAATATTAATGGGTAGTAGAAATGTTAAAACTCCTCCGTGCAGGTCACAGACGGAAAATGCTGCTAAGTTTATTCGCTTTTGATCCAGCTTGGATAAATCTAAAGTAAAATATAATTCTTTTTAATGTTAAGGGCTGATTATTTTACAAGTGAACTCAATTCGGCTTATTTGTTTAAATATACTAATAAATCTTATAATTTATTTTCAATCTAAAATCGATTTTTAAACTAAAAAGTGCCATCATGTCCAGTAACATGTCGAAAATATAAATGTTTTCAATACATCTTTGTACATATTCTGGCATGTTTTAGAATATATACAAGTCTACGAAAACATCTTTGAAAATTCGCCATGTCATAGAACTATAATTTAAAGTATGTGTCATCTATCTGTATATACTTGGTTAGATGTAAGCTAATACACTTAAAGCCTGAGTCCCAGCAGTGGGAACCATTAAAGAGCAATTGACCATGATAATGTTGACCCGCGGAAACTACAATACAACTTAAGAACTCAAACGAATTTGCCTGAGAAAAAGCTGAATGGTTGTAGAGAGTTTAGGTATTCTGCGCTTTGATCCCCTCATTTACTTGCGTCTGGTTTTATGTAAAATAGCCCCCTGACCTCATTACAATTGGCTCTGACCTTCGAACTGATTGCCCTGGGTTTATTCTCCTTGATGTGAGAGTAGACCTTTCGCCTTTCGTGTTTATTGAAGCGATGTGAGACGACAGTGCCTTAATGACGCAGACGCGTCTGTTTATATATACGAACGTAAATTGCATGAATTAAACATATTTGACCCGGGATGCGCTCAGTCCAAATTATTGCTTAAATTACTTGGGTCAATGTGCCCGCGCATATATTTTGACCCTTCACTCGGGAAACAGTTTATTGAAAGCGCCAAACTAGTCGTTACTTCTTAATTTATTTCACTCGTTTGAGTTTCAATTTAATTAACTTCTATAGTACCACTGAAAAAAACTGTTGTATTTACTTAAAGAACTGTTAGGTCGAAAGAATTGTTTTCTAAATATATTCTTAAAAATGATATTTACAAAATAAGCAGGTTCCCTGAAAATTACCTTTATATATTCTTTAATATCAGTAAACTACATACAAATTATTTTATTTTTTCAAAAGTCTTCAATTACACATTAAATAATTAGTTAAAGCAATATAAACATATATTTTGTTTTATTATACACTTTTTGCATTATTTTAACAACATTGCAATCGGAAATTTTGTTTTAAAGGAAAACTTAATGAACCCTTTGTAAAGTAATGTTTTTCTTTCCAAAGTTAAACATCTTTTATTCTATTTGTCTTGACAATAAAGAAAAGCAGAATATATAGTTATTAAATTAGGTAAACATGTTAAAATTGATGTGCAAACAAATTTCGAAAATGGTCAAGTTGGAACTGCTGTGGTTCTTAAGTTCGTGTTATTGTATTCTTAATTTAAAATACTTCCTTTACTTAAGATCTCATATTAAACGACGAACAGTACACATTACAATGACAAGTATTTATGCGTTATAACAAAAGTTTCCCCATGATAGTACAACAATATCGCTTTATATGAGTTATTGATGGTTCACCAGCTCCATCTGTTGCCGAAAACTATAGATAAATTCTCAGAAAACTCTTTGTCTGAATAGACAAAGAGTTTTCTAATAATTCTTTGTATTTGATCGGAATCGATCAAATACAAAGAATTATTAGAATCCTGCACTAGAGTGTCGTTATTAGATTTATTACTTCGTTAATGCGGGAACTTTAGCTGGCTGTTTATTCTCAATTAAGCGTTAAAGATATAACGCTATTTTCTTTTGGAAAAACAAGAAATTAAGTCGGATTTGCCAGGATTTTATTTTACATCACCTCTGTAGATAAACGTGTTGCCTATCATTGCGTGGAGCGCGAGAGCTGAAGATTTGAATCCAGGGAATCAATAGATTGTTTCGGTCGGGCAGGACACAATTTTAGAGCAATGACTTACTTAAAAATAAAACGGACATAGATATGTGTGCCGCATGCTTTTGAATTTAGTAATAATATCAGGAATGTTTTGCAATAATACAGTACAAAAAGGTATAAATATTTCTATAAGTACTTAATTCTCTCTCTAGTTTAGAGGTAAGTAGTTGATAAAACTTATGTGCTATGCCTAATGAAATTATTTTCAATGTGCCCCCAGAATTCGAACTCGGGACCCTTTGCGCTCCACGATTAAACACACGTATTTTAACCGCTCCGGTTGTTATAGACAAGGATATAAAATATTGTTGTATAAGTTTGTTCCAATTTTGTCTGTGGTCCACAAAAACTCGGTTCATAAATAGGTATACGAGTCCGAGTCGACGGTCACGCGATTGCATGTAGTAAAAAGGGCACACTACAATTACATACCAACTGACCCTTAGTTATTTCGCCATCACACGCGAATGTTGCCTTTTAATCGAAAAAATCTTAATTCCTGTTCGAAAACCGCCAACGACTATGTTAAAAATTACTTTGTATCCACACAATACGATTGTTTTATTTGAATGTATTTAGTCAATACGTTTAAGTTACGCACTTATTAGTATTACGAAAATCGACTACACTGAATATGTACAAGTTTGAAATTGTTATTAGTAAGTAAAAAAGTAGTAAATAAAATTATAGGTGAGATATTTCATAGAATTATCAAAAATACTGGCCTATAACTTATCTCTTAGAAAAGAGCTTAATTCTAGAATAATTCGCGTTCCTATGGGAAAACGTAAAAAGTTTACATTAATAGATAATAAGTGAACGTACTGTAATAAAATGTAGGAACACTTTCTTTACAGTTATAATAATATATAAGGCTGTGTTTAGGTGATTTAGAGAAAGAGGGTCATAATATATTAAATTTAATTAATTATCTAAAGTGTAAACGCCTTAATGGGACTTTCATCATAAGAATTGGTGACAAAATATATAATGTATTAATTTTATTAAACCAAAATTAAGTGTAAACAATTAGGGGATACAACATTTTTGGTTTTGTGTTCTGTATAGTTTGTATTAAGACGTTACAAATGATTACATGGCATTGTATGAACAATAATGAATTATAAAAAGTATTTCAAATACTGCTTAGTGTGTTTAAAATACAAAATTATTTAAACTAATCAATAGCTGTCTACAGTCTCCATAACAAAAAATCATTGAAATACCAGTAATATACTCGTGAACGTACGCACCCATATGTGTGAGTGCGTACACTAATGTATGTGAAATTCCCAACTTAATTTCCTGACTCTAAAGAAATTAGACTATAAATAAAGCGGCCCTAAACTGCCTTGTCCATAAAATAAATAGGTTAGTCTGTTAGCTATTACGCTAACAGAGCCGGTAAGAAAGATTTGAAATCCCTGAGCGTAGAGAGGATTTGTTAGTAAACCCGGTAGACATTTAGAAATGCACGTTGAAGACATTATGTAAATCTGGGTACCTGCTGTAACCTAAGTGACTACGTGAGCTCTATTTTTTATATTTGGTTCCGTGAATATTAATTTGGGCCCGCAAGCTGAACAAATCCACAAAAAAGACTCGGAAAACCTACTTCAACACATTCAATTATTTTTTCTAATATTTTTAAGTGATATGTTTATGAATGTATATACAAAAGATATTATTTTGAAAGAAAATATCCTCTTGTTACTTTATTGAAATCTTTTTATCTTGTTCTCAGATATCGAGAAGAATCGTCGACGGTTACTGTTTCCTGGGAATTTGAGGTAATTGAAAAAAGTCTATTAGTATATTTGTCATGACAAAATGTATGCATAAAATTTATAGTTGCAATGCATATAAATTGTAAAAGCTTTAAAAGATTTTTAATATTAATAGAAAAACACTCTGAATTGTTTAAAAAGTGAATAAATAATAGTGCAAAAATTATAGTATTATTTTGTCTAGGGCAAATAAATACGATATTTATTCTTTTCAAGGACCGCGGCAGTACAGGGGATGACGCTCGGCGGTGAAGACGAAAAGCGTGGCGCGGGCTGAACTGGCGCGGGGGATGTGGGTATTCGTAATGCTGGCTCTGGCGGCAGCCGTCACAGCCGAGTGTCCACGCCATTGCGAATGCAAATGGCGCAGTGGAAAGGAATCGGCCCTTTGCGCCAGAGCCGGTCTAAACGCCGTCCCACCGCGCCTAGATCCCACCACGCAACTTCTAGACTTAGCAGAAAACCGTCTCACAACTCTCCGTGACGACGCTTTCGCATCAGCTGGCCTTCTTAATCTTCAACGGTTATACCTTCCTGCGTGCAATCTGCGTAGTATACGACAGTTCGCGTTTCGTGCTCTAGTGAATCTAGTAGAGCTGGACTTGTCGCGCAATCGTCTAGAATCGATACCATCACACGCCTTTGATTCAATACGAGAACTTCGAGAGCTTCGGCTCAGCGGAAATCCGATCACGAAAATTAAAGATGAAGCCTTTTCAACTTTACCGCATCTAGTGAGACTTAGTCTTATTTCCTGCAAAATATCTGAGATAGAGCCAAGAGGATTTATCGGCTTAGAAGCTTCGTTGGAGTATTTGGAACTTAGTAAGAATAAGCTGCAGGTGCTCCATGTTGCAGTTTTGGCACCTTTAAGATCGTTAAAAGGGCTGGAATTGGCAAACAATCCATGGGATTGCAATTGTGCTTTAAGACCACTGCGAGATTGGATGATCAGAAAAAATGTTCCTGCGACAATTGTGCCGGACTGTGCTTTGCCTCCGCGTCTTCTGCAATACTCATGGGATAGGTTGGATTTGGAAGACTTTGCATGTCTTCCAGAGGTAACTACGTCTTCGAGCAATATTAAAGGTGTTGAAGGCGAAGAAGTGACACTAGTTTGTAAAGTCACAGGAATACCCGCTCCGAGGGTGCGATGGTTACGTTCAGGAAGGTTATTAGCTAATAGCACGAATGCTAGTTCAGGAAGAGCTTTCTTACTGCGGAGTGAGGGTCAAATGAGCTCATTAGTTATAAAATCATCAGAAGTACAAGACTCTGGCCTATATACGTGTAACGCGGAAAATCGAGCTGGGAAGGTAGAAGTTATTTTAAATTTAACTATTGATAGAAAACTGCCTAGTAAAGGGTTTGGAGGTAGAGCCCTGATGGCGGGAATGGCTGTATCAGCAGTGGTAGTGTTAAGTTCGTGTCTAATAGGTTTGTGTATTTATGAAACTCGTAAAAAAAGACAGATAGATAGGTGGAATGAACAAATAGTGACTTCGAGTCACAATGATAATAATTATGAAAAAATCGACGCTAATGTAAAAAATAACGTTGAAGTACCACGTGCAACGCCAACTGAAAACCGGAAAAGAGGTGACTATAGAAACGTTCCTTCTCATGATCCAGAGGAGTATAATAGCTATAGAAAAGGCGATGGTCGAAGTGAGGAGAGAGTTGAATCTACACCGCCATTGGACAAACACTGGCGTAGAAATGAATTTGAAGTTTCTGGTTCTAGGTCTGCTGAAATCGTTCAAGACTTACACATACCTCGAATGAGCCAGTATACATTGAGGTATGTTATATGTACTTTAATAGATTTAAAACATATTCTCATTAACGATCCCTTAATGGAGGTCACCGAAGTTGTTTAGGGACCAAATTAAAGAATTCACAGAATTTAATAAGTAAGTAAGTTCACCTTATTAAGTAGTACGGGTAAATAAGTCATTAATCGTTCACTTTGATTAAAAGCATGCACACAGTTGTATTATTACATATTTATATTACACCAAAAATTTCTAGCATTAAAATGATAATATGTTTCAATCAATCTTGAATGGACAGTGACAACCTTATGATAACACATAACTTAGCTTTTATTAAGACGAATATACGTACATATATTGTTGAAGTGAAGTGTATTTAAAATTCCTTACAAAATATTGTCTCTTTATTTTCAGGTCGCAGAAAAATGTCGAACCGATGCAAAATTCCAAGTCGACGGGCCTTTTAAGTGGTCGCGTAGAGATGTTATCAGAAAATAGTCGATTTAACAACAACGCTCGACCGTGTCCTCAACCTCGAATACGTGAACGCCTCGATAACGATCTATCTGGAAGCGACAGCGAAAAAAACTATCCTGATCTTATAGAAATGAGTGCATTGAGTACTAGTTCATACTTACGCGATACGAAACAGGATCCTTATTATTTTTATACGATACCAAGAAGAAAAGACGGGGACAGCCGGAGTCCTCTTCTCAGTAGCAGGAGAAATAGCTCCGGTGGAGATTCAGTAACATATCTAGAGAGATATGAGAAGAGTCGACAGAAGCCATCTGGTAGGTCGAACAGTTTTTTAGATCTATCTAGCGGCGGAAGCCGTTTACGGCGAAACCCAAGTTTACCAGCATCACCAAACAGGGAGCCATCTTCTATTCCGTCCGCCACCCCACTTCTTGATCTGTCTGGCCTTCGAGATTACACACAAACGAGTCCCCCCTTCGAAGACTTCGATTTCCGAGCATCGCAACTAGAAAGATTTTTAGAAGAGTACAGAAGCCTTAGAGAGCAATTATCCAGAATGAAGGAGACCCGAGAGAATTTACAAAGAACGAGAGCAGTTGAGAACGAGGAGCTCAGATCGATTTTGAAAGGGAAACCGAGTATAGCGGTCACTGAAACTTCTTCGTCTGTAGCTTTAGCAGATGGCGCGTCTCCTCTAGCTCTAAGTCCACCCGAATATAAGCCCCAGCAGTCGCGACCAGACTGGCTAACAACGTTACTATATCGCAATTAACATATAAATATTTTGTAAATATAGAGAAATGAACTGATCAAAATTGAATTGTTTTTAAGTACCTAAAGTGATAATAATAGTCATCCTTTTAAAGTTGAAATAAATTTTGAAGTCGGATTTGGTATTTTATTTAGTTCCTAGTTTGGAATATCGATAGAAAAGGTGTTTGCTAAATAAAAGAGTAGATTGCCTGTAAATGAGTTTATTTCGTTCGTTAGGCATGGAAAGGAGCAATGAAAATAAACGCTTAATAAGAGACGACTATAGATTTAGTACCCAATTAGTGTGACGGCGGCCTTTGTTCTGCAGTCGGAATGCCACGAAGCTGGGAGGAATTTTATCGGTAATAATGATCTCTGCTCCACATTTTTATTTAAATAAAACAGAAGCGTTGTTCGATTGAGGACCCCCGCCAGGGCCTTGAAGATGGATATCTATGCAATTTCCTCCCCCAACTTGGTATTCATTTATGAATCTGCCTGATCAGCAATTTTATTTTAATAGACATAATATTATATTATATACAAAAGGGTCTTAAGAATATTGTAATTACTTCGTTTGTTACACTTCATAAGGCATAAGAGACCACAGGTAAACTTTTCATTAAAAACTTTATAATACGAGTGAAACAAAGTACTTCAATTGGCAAAAAAATTGCTATTGTCGTAGATTCGAAACCTGCACAAAACTGGAGGGCTCGTTGGTGTAATGGTAGCAATGTTTGGCAAATAATTAATGAATCGTGGGTTTGATCCCCACTGGGACCAATATTTTTCTAATCAATTTATAATTTTTCTGAAACATTTTGGACTTCGTCTGGATAGTAAACGTAGGGATATTAAAATTCCGTCCGTACACAAACCGCCGTCCACAGATGAAAATGGGTTAAGGTAGCTTGGTTGGATGTTATGGCTGGGGTACTACATGCGTGTCTTGCTATATCGTAAAGATATTAAAAAGTCTAATCCTATCTTTACTTAAACCAATAATTTCATAATCCAATAATAAACCAAGAAGTCGTAAAAGATGAAGCTTGTATATCCACTATAATTGCTCGACATAAGTTGCTTTGATTACTCAGCTGTGAAACTCTATAACTCTATAAAGCAGGTTAAGTGAAACTTCAGCGTCTGGCGTCTATATACACTGCATTTCAGATGTATTCGGGCACAATGTTAAAATACTACGAGCTAAATTGAGGATCCAATAGACAGAACGAGAGTTCGCAATTACAGCTGTCCGAACGAATTGTGCGCTCGACAATAAAAGTGATACTTTTATTGTGGCTGTAAATTGCAGGCGCGTTGTCGCTTCTTTTCCTCTAAGCTCTAAGGGAACACTAACATATTAGGACACAATTTTCAAAGTAATTCGAACCCAGGACTTATTTGACATTAGCTATATCCGCGAACTCGTGCATCATATTTTTTATTTTTTCATACAAACTTATCAGCGTTTGTTTGTATTTAATCTAAACTCATTTTATTTATATTATACAATTTATTTATTCGTAGTATCAAATTATACAAACCGTTAGAATAAAAGATAAAAACCACAGACTATAAAAAACTTAAAGCCACGACATTGTCCGCGTACCATCGTGCATGCGAGTTGATCTTAAAATATAGACATCTAGACACTGTCGTGGACAATTTTGGGATCATTTAAAAATGATATCTTCATAAAAAAATTGGTTTCTTGAACCCTTTTCGCAGCGCACGCAATGGAAGCCCACTAAAGAGACTGATTCTCCCCGTTTCCCACATTTTTCTGTTTTTAGCTCCTAATGTTAGCAGCTCGATTTATATAGCTTTAAGCCTTCCTCAATAAATGAATTTTTGTGTTGATGTTATAATCAACACAAAAGCTAGCAAACAAACTTTTCTGCTTTATAATATTGGTATATATTATTTAGCGTTAATATATTGATCTATAAAAACGATCATTAAAATTTAACTGTTAATGCAATATATTTTAGCATCTGTTTATTGATTAATTTTGTTTATAAAAAAAAACATAATGTCCGAGTTTAGAACTCACGACATTTCTCACTTAGCGATGCAACAAAGTTGGATATAATTAAGTTTACTTGTAATTCAAAACAATCCCTCCGTGACCACGCTGCTGTAAATCCGAAACGCCGCGCCGTAGTTAAAATAAATTGTAAGTAAAATACTGTCTATAACTCTATAGTTTACGCAAGTAGTACACATTTAAATAAAACACTTTAACGGTTTAAAACGCGACGTATATTAGTTAAAGTTATTTGGAAATTATTTTAACCTCAGCCTGACGTTTCACATGCTTGGGAGCAGCCGTGGTCACGTAGAAACTAATATATATCGCATTTTAAACCGTTAAAGTATTTTATATATATTAAATGCCTAGTATGTCAACGTATGGATTGTATGTGGGACCCTAAAAAGTAGTATATAAACACACCTTTTAGGGTTCCGTACAAAAAAACACCTAACAAAGACTTCACTATCTGTCTCTTATCCTTAACGTGATAGCTAAGCTAACCTATTTTCGTTCTTTTTTACTGAAACTTTTTAAGCTTCACCGTAGAGTTAAAATTTTGTGCGATTAAAATCTCGATAGATATTATGATAGGATCTAATTACGTTTCACAATAGCTTAAGGCGAATGTGGTAATCAAGCCTAGAGGCTCACCCTTGCAATGTGAGATTCAATATTCAATTAAGCCATAAGTTTATAAATCATCCTTCGGGTAAAACGAAATTCGAGCGAAGACCGAACCTAGACGCGCGACGGTAGAACGTAATTATTTTCCCACCGTGGCCAGCTAAGTTACTAAACGATAACGAAGTTCGAAAAGAAACTTATATTAATATTTATTATTATATACTCATTTTGAATGTCAAATTAGTACAAGTAAATCTTTAAAATTGCTGATGTCTTGTCAATTCAATTGACTGACTTGGCGATAATAATATGTCGATGATGGCAAAAGTCTTTGCTAGTTGGCCTCCATACTATGTCCATTTTTAGAAAACTGATAACGTATTTTTTTTTATAGAATGTACTCAAAGTAAAAATTATACTAAGAGATCGCTATCTATCCGACTATATACGACATCAGATTATATCACAATAAACCGATAAAATAATTAATTTCTTTTGCCTTGAATATTAAAAACAAAATAATATAAATACTCAAAAGTTTATAAAAATCTTGCATTGACACTTGACATAACTGCAAAACGGTAACAATATAAAAATAATTGTACGTGTCGATAACCAAGTCAATAAATTTAAATATAGAACCCTCCGTGCGTGAATTCGACTCGCACTTGGTCGGTTTTTATTTAATCTATATTGACGTAATTTGACATGAAAAAATTAAACTGATCTTTAGCGGATAATCACGTTGCTCTTTTGATACAGTACATTTATTATTTAATTTCGTTATCGTTTCAAAATTATCAATTTCGCCAAGACCCAGATGCTAGAAAACCTCGTGTCTATTAACATTCTCTGCTTCACAAAACTCTCATTTGTGTGAAATGAAAGAGCCACATTTATGAGATGACCGTGATACGAGTCAAGGTGAAATAAAGTTAGTTTTAAAAGAAAATAGGCTACAATGAAAAATAAAAGTTAAACAATGGAAGATCACAAACGGCCTCTGTGCTAATAAAAGTAAATTTGCGGAAAACATGTTTGAGCTAAGCGCGACGTTTGCTAGGTCTTTACAATTTACGCGAGTACAACAAATTGAAATAAAACACTAAAACAGTTTCAAACGCGATACTAATTTACTACTAGTAGTTAAACTTTTTTTTTTGGATGCCTTGGATGCTTTGGTCACGGGGAGACTAAAGATGGAGGTCTCCGACGTTAAAGTAATAACTGCTACACTAGCGCCATCTGTTTCGTCAAAGTTGGTATTTGACGAAACTGGCCTTTCGCCAAATATCAACTTCGACACCCTCCATCTTTAGTCTCCCTGTGACCACGGCTGCTGCAAAGCATTCGAAACGTCGGGGCGTAGTTACAATAATTTTTAAACAAGTCTAACTAATATAGTATATCGCGTTATAGTGTTTTGTTAAAAAAAATTAAATAGGTATCAGAATTATCTAATTTTCGTCTTAAACGTGTAACATTTAATAAAAAATCAAAAAATAATTATATAAATTGAAAAGTATTGCAGTATTAAGCATTCAATGAAAAGTTGTGTGCCATAAAAATAGAACTATAAAATACTCCGTGTACATTCCAGCACATTTATTCGCTTATTTTAATTGGAGCACGAGACGTCGAATGGTTTAATAAAAATTATGTATTTCCAAGTTCATTTCACTTATTGCGGTTGACGAAAACGAAATATTAAAATAAAATCCTTTTTCATTATTTCACTTACATTCATATTTATAACGAGGCGTCGAATTTTCAATACATGGCTGGAAAGTCATGCTATATTTTTTACACTTGCAAAGTATATTAATTAAAGCTTTATATAAATTGAAGTCCTCATAAATATTTAGTGTTGCCTATAACTGCTGGTGAACCATTGAGTTGCAGTTAAAAATCGATTAACTATATTTTTACATTTCATAATTCTGTTCTTTAACCTATATTCTTAAAATTAAAATCTATTTAGATTAAGAGTTTACGACACGGGCGGGACTTGAACCGGACTTGAAAGTTCCGTGCTGCTGCCCTAACCAACTCGAGTCGTATTTTTAAAAATCCGAATTGGATTATTAATTTATACAGGTTGTGAATGGAACAGTCCCGAAAACTTATAAAGGGCATATATTACGGGCTATCAGGTGTTTATAGTTCTATTTATTTTCATTTATTTCAAAGTTTAAAATACGAATATGGAATGTACAGCGTACAGACGAGAAGCATTGACATATTACATAACTGCGAAGGGCTGCAGATGAAAGGACCCTACCTTCTCCGGTAAATTCTCAACACTGAGATACTCACGTGCTGGATACAACATTTAAAAAGAATTAACACACCAC